CACCTATGTTTCTGGGGTTTAATAATACAGTATTGTCTATTGTCCGTTGTAGTTTAACGGTTTGGTTGGCTCGCAAGCATTGTAATTAAGATTGACATCTGCAATCAATAGATAGGCTGGGCTTCAGCTCGTATACATTTTACTCAAATAGTATTGGATGTTAAGTATAATGCAGAGTATAATGTATACAAGCTAAAGCCCGAGCAAAGCAAGCAAACCAACCAAACCTTTAAACTACAAGCATTAGGACAATAGCTCGAAATATTCATTAAACTCTTAAAAGTTAAAAATTTCATTTAAGAGAGGTTGTTTAAAGGTGCATTAGCTGTCAAATTCATGTTCACCATTTGACTAAATTCTCATATTTGATTTATAACATACTAAAACTTATATCCAAATTATGGACTCGATTATATGTATCAACATTTCGTGTGTATTTTTGTCTAGACTTCATCTAATTAACGAGGGTCTGGATTGGGGGGGGGGGGGGGTCCTTCTTTCCTGTATTCTTGAATTTTTAGGTCATTTTTCTCTATTCTTTATACTTTTTGCCAATTATTCTCTATTCTTTATATTTTAGCACCTCATTATTCTCTATTCTTTATCTTTTTGGTCCATTTTTCTCTATTCTTTATATTTTTTGCCCATTATTCTCTATTCTGTAATCCCTCATCCACACCCTCATTAACCATCGAGATGACCCCCGAAGACTGCCGAAAGTCACGTAATCCGATATTAATATAAATGTCAATATATAGCGATCACGTGTAATTATATTTTTCTAGGTCTGTTTGATTGCAAATTGTAGCATGAAAAGTATGTTTATCATCGTTTTTACCTGTATAAGAATGATGTTTGTGTGGATCGAATCAGTCAATCAAATGATTCATCCTTGTTTCACTTTCAATGTTGACATTCTTCTGCTTTTAATAGCTGGATACATGTGTAACCCATCTCCAGCTAAGGGGTTAAATTATAGGTCACATGAATACGGATTCAATGAGGTAGAAATATTCACTTGCAAGTGAATAATTCATTAGCGATGTTTCATTGCTTATTTTGACAAAATTGAACCAAATTGGCTGCTAAAAGCGAATTTTATTTCACTATTTCACTTTCATTAATGATCGAACAAAGTAAAATCATATTTTGATTTTTTTTATATCTCGTAGCTAATGCCCCTTTAATCGTCTAAATTTTTTATGTTTAAATGAGCCGATCCAGCTGATTAACACACCTCTCTACTGTTTTTTATTTAGAAGATGTAACATTGTTTTCTGTGATTTCCTTATTTGGGCCTATTAGGACCTACAGGGATAACTAATACAGTCTTCCAGTGTATCTTTTCCAAATGGTTACATCAAAATTATTTCACAAAGTTGTTCTTTATCGTCACGCTCCAAAATGTATCGTTAATGTCAAAACAGAAAAAAAATACCGTTAACGTTATTCAGTGGCAACATTTTTTATTTGTTACGTTGTTATTCATCGTGAAGGTACCTCCATTACGACATTCTTTCAAACATTTCTGCGATGTCTTCAGAAGTGGTCCGAATTGTTTTAAAAAGTGGTCCGAGTTGTCTTAAGATTGGTCCAACGTGTCATCTATTCGCTCAATTGACCTGAAGAAGGTTGAAGTTCAAAATTTTAAATTAAAAGTACAGTGATAAAACTTCTAACATATCACACCTCATTTCTAAAAATGCCAAGAAAAAACTATTGAATATATCAAGCCAATATTCGGTATAAGTATCACGAGTAAAGGGTCTGGATATCTTCCATTTTTTCATCAAATATGCAGATTTACAGGATTTGGATAGGAAATCGTAAAAGAAGCCAATAAAGTTAATGGAATTTAAAAAAAAATATTCAAAGCTAGATGTATTTTGGGAAAATTAGATTTAGTTTGAGCTTTTAAAAATATGGAATACTAGTATCTGTTTTTTTCTGTAATGGTAAAAACATTTGAAGTTCAGTCAATTTGTACCTCACGGCCGGGTTGACTGTGGAATAAAAATATGGTACTTCCTGGACTTCGACACCTCCGCTCGGAATGATGACACTATCATAACAAATCGCGGTGGGTTTCGTTGGTGAAAATATACAATACACTTTTAAGTTTCCATTGGCAGTCCAAATTTCTCTCCCCTTTACCCCGGTCGACCGTGGCTAGTTTTGTATTAGGTTTGAATTTGTTCTCGTCCTTAATATGCATGAAATATTTGCCACTGAACGTTAACCAATCACCCTTTACTGTTAACAGAAAATTTATATCAATGAACAAAAAAATTATTAAATATGACTATTTTGAAATTACAGAGACAACTATTTCATCCTTATATATATATATATGTCAAGCCTTGGTTATTTCATTTTTTTCTCTCAGAAACTTCAGTCAACCCTCTTGAAACTCAATTTTGGTGAAATCCAAAAAAAAAACGTGATCTAAAGAATACCGTCTTAAAAAAAATTGGAATCGAAAAGAATGGACTTTTTCTATAAACTAATATAACATTTTTTTTCAAATGGAAGAGATCCTTTAATTATTTTGCGCAGTATATTTGTATTAATTTGCATAGTTTGAGGTAATACATAATGCTATGCTAAAGTTTAAGGCCATGGTCTTTTCTGCTTTTATTCGACTTGTGGTTTATACCGCCCTTTGTGTCTTCTCGCTATTTGTACAACCCGGTGAGTTATTGAAACCATTCATAGCCAGATAAAGGTTGCATTAAAGGGGCACTAGCTACGAGATATGAAAAAAATTAGAATATAATTTCGTTTGGTTCGTTCATTAATAAAAGTGAAATAATGAAATAATATTTCGCTTTTAGCATCCAATTATATATAATTTTGTCAAAATAAGCAAAGAAATATCGCTGATGAATTATTCACTTGCAAGTTAACCCATTAGCTAGAGATTGGTTACGCATGCATAAGTCGTGTTCAGCCATTAAAAGGAAAAGAATGTCAACATTGAAAGTGAAACAAAGGTGAACCATTTAGTTGACTGATTCGATCCACAAAAAATCATTCTTATACAGGTAATAACGTTCATTAGCTTCTATTGTTAACCTATAACATAAAATCAAACAGACCAATAATAATCCAATTACACGAGGTCGCAATCTATTTATATTTATGTTTATGTTTATATCGGGTTATGTGACCGTCGGTAGTATTCGGAGGTCATCTCGATAGTTAATTAGTTGGCGTCTAGACTAAAATATACACGAAATTCTTATATATATTATCGAGTACATGCTTTTTTAACTGTTTATTCCAGACTTATTGTAATGTTAACATAAGTTTTAGTATGTTTTAAATCAAATATGAGAATTTGAGTCAAATCGGTGAACATGAATTTGACAGCTAGTGCCCCTTTAATATATGGTTCACTCAAGCTTTAATCGATTGACTTAGTCTTTGGTGTGTAGGTAACCTTTAGGTTAAAGATACTCAAATTAAGAGGCAATGTTTAATCTAAAGTTATCAATTAAAAAAAAAGACGCGGATGAAAGTAACGATATATATTATACATATCAGCAAAACTATGAATCTACAGGCTTTAATGTAGCAGTGCACGAAATTTTCATCAAAATTTATTTTAGTCTAGTAAATGCAAGTGATGATTCGGAGATGAGAGATACCTCAGCGAAATATCAACCCAACGATACAAATAACAAAGAGACATCAACTCAGGGACACAAATAACAAAGAGAAATCAATCCCACGACACAAATAACAAAGAGACATCTAGTTTAGAAATTTAGATAATATTATTTGCATCTATAATTGTTATTTGTAATCAGCTTAGTATATGGACAGTTTTCCCTGTACATAGTTCAACAATTTCCTAACCTTTGAAAGTACATTACTACAAAAGAAACAAACATGGTTAAATATTTTACTGTATACACATGTTTAAATAGCATTTCCGTTTGCCTTGTTTTTCTTCTATACGTCAAAAGTTTCAACAATTGTTGATTTGATTTAATGATTTTTAAGCTACGAAGTTTGACTTACTAGCATCTGTTGTTAACTTAAACCTCCTTAATCTCAAATACATTTTCTTCTTATATGAACAAAGATTATAATTATGTGTTCAACGGATAAAACTAAGAAGAATCGTTATTCTTACAACATTTGGACCGAGATATAACGAAAAGAATATATTGTAAGTAAAATTTAATAAGATTACTTGTATGTTTACTTGTAGCTTTCAATGTTTTAATTCATCTGAAAATACTCGATATTATCCCATTTCAATAAGAGAAATTAAAGAAGTAATATATGTTTTGTCATTTATAATTATTTTTATATATATATATTCGATATAATGATAATGATAATGTTGTTTTGTACAAAATCTTGATAATAGAAAGTCAATCTATATACAAATTCTGTGGGGGAGAAACAAATTGAAATACCCTAGTGTGTATCTATTCTTTACAAGCCCACATCCCCGGAAACCGGAACGTTGAAGTCCATTCACATTGTAATTTGTCTTCTCGAAGTAGTTAGTAAATAACACGACAAATAAGAGCGACGTATCGTTCAACATACCAAACCAACAAACAAAACACTGCTAATGCAAGAAAATGTCGCTAGCACGTTAACAACCCGACTCAGTGTGTCAGTCTAGTACAAAGCAGGGTATATCAATCACATATATTTTGTTTTCGTCCTGAATATATACATCTAATATTTGCCATTGGAGTTAAATATTTATCAACAAATCAAGCAATTTTAAGTTTCGGTGATAATAGAACTCTAATACTAAAAGTCAAACGTGATAAAAACAGTACGCATTTAAATATCTACAAAGCAGCATAACATTGCAATAAAGTATAAAACACTGTATCAGTAGGGCTTAACTCTTACCCGCTCGGCACCATGTTTCTAAACCGTCATTTCAATAGTTTACTCGTAGACGATGATATTGGTTAAAAGTGGATCATGTTTAATAAATAAATGCACACCATACAGATTTACTCATAAACTATAATCGATTTTGTATTATGATATATTATAACTTGTGAACAAACGTGTAAAATAGACCCATTAGATACAATATTTGTAAAGTAGGATTTGTGTTATTTTGTGTTCTTTTTCCTAACATTTAATCTAATGAAATAAATTCATAGCATAATTGGATTTCTGTATAGTCACTATGAGAAATAAATGTAATTAGTTTCACATCTAGATGGTGGCATGCATCAGAAAATGTAAAGTTCACAGAAAAAGGACGGGGTAATAACATGAACATATAACAAATCAACAAATCAACAAATCAATAAAAAATGAACTACTAAGAGAATGCACATTATTAGCCTCGTAAACATTGTCTCTGTCATACTGCCTCCCATGACGATTTAAAATCGATGACATATTATAAATGGACAAGGCTGTACTTGAAATGTGGTCATCCTTTGTTCCCCGATATTAATATTCGTAGCACGAATATGTAATATTACTTTTCTTAATTTCATTGTTTTGCTTTATGGGTGTTGGATTGGATTAGAAATTTAAGGTAGAGTAGATTAAATGTAGACGATTTTTAGCATAGTTTGTTATAGTAACGACTATAATTCTGAATATTGTGTTCTCAACAAATATATGAAAGGTGCGCAAAATGTACTCTTCATTTCCAATTGCAGGAACATCCTTCAAATTAAATAATCAAGTTGGATAACATTCTTGTGTATAGTAAACAGTAAAGTCCTGCTTGTTATATGTTTTTAGTGTTCAATGTTTTGTCTGACTATTTACAATTATTTCTAAATAGTCATGATAAGTACTGGAAAGATAAGGGTGTTTTGAAGCAATGCTTAAACAACCTCTTTGTTAACATTTGGCTACAGTCAATGTGTATTCAATGGCTCAAATTGGTTGCATATGAAACATTATTTCAAACGTATCTATCCACAAGTCATAATAAAAAGGCCTTCATGGAGAATTAAATACTAGATTTAATTTGGTTATTTTGTCATTGGGTTACTGACTCATTGACGTATAACCTACATCTCCTTTTATTCATATTTAACTTTTCAGCTGCATTAAAGTATGAATTTCAACGATGGTACAGGTACAAGACAGTATGGCTGTAATATCGACGACGGTACGAGTCAACGCGGCTATTACGTCGACGACGATAAATCAACTAAAGTCTACATCGGAGGTCTTATCGATAATATTGGGAACGACAAACTACAGAGAGAGTTTGAAAAATTTGGCCAAATAGTAAAGGTTTGGATAGCTAGAAGTCCCTTCTCTAGAGGGTATGCATTTGTTGACTATGCAGATCCAAATGATGCTAAACGGGCAATTAAAGAAATGAACGGTAAAGAACTTTTCGGCGGAAAAATTCTCGTTCAATTGTCAAAACAGGAAAATAAAAAATGGCACCCACCATGTAGTGAAACAAATTATTCAGACGTTAAATATGAGTATGCATTAGAATCTGCAAGTACTTTAGATAAAAAAAGAAAATCAAGAGAGAGATCAAGCAGCCGATCAAATGGCAGGGTTTCCAGAAGTTATGAACAGTCTGGAGAAAATCTACGTAGCAGTCGACATCCAAGTGAAAGACTTTATGGTAGAGACACGGTTTCATCTCGAAATCGTCATCGCGATTCACCCCGAAGACGCAGTAGGTCACGCGAAAGACACTCATCACGACAGCGTAATCGATCACCCGATCTGTCACCAAGGAGAAGAAGATCTCCAGACAGAAATAGCAATGGAAGTTCTGAATACTGTAATAAAAGATTGACAGTAGATGATAGCATGATAGCCCATATAAGAGAATCTGTAATAAAAGAAACATTACCACAAATGTATTCTTTGCTATTCCGGGAGATACTTCTTCTAAATGACCCAATTAAGATGCAAAGTCTGTTACAAGTATTACCAAATCCATCGAATGTACAGGGAAATACAACCAATCCAATCAACGCTTTGGCTACAAAAATTCCTAATCCTAGCAACATTTTAAGAACTACCAGTCCTGGTTACCATGGTAATCAGACATGGGGTTTCAGCCCATCATTGCAGTACAGCGGAGCAACGTCATCTAGCAATTTACATGGGAATTCTGTAATCACGAGTTCTCACAATTTAGGACAGCAATATTCAATGCATAACCCAGGGACCTTGTCTACGCCAAGTTTATCAAACGTGTCTTCTCCAAACACCCAAAGGAAATTTTCTTCTTTCCTACAAAATGCTACGCCAAATTCAACATTCATAAACTGGAAGGACAGACAACATGTATCTGGTTATAGCGATGGAAAATGTTTAACACATAACCAACCGGCTTATGTTCAGTACCCTTCAAAGTTGAATGAAAAGCCCTATGCTACAAGCAATGGAACGACAAATAACCAATTGTCAAAGCAACAACTTCATAATAGTCAAGACAAACATCGCCAGTTGCAGGTAAAACTGTTACAGATAACTTCAATTATTGCTAGATTTCATTTAGTTTCATTAGTTTTTGAAAGGTGAAGGTATCAAAAGATTGCAAGTGCTACACGGTAACTAATACATTCAAACATATACTTTATATCTATATGAAAACGTCAAATGATATTATTACGAAACTTGTTCTATTGGTCATTTGGAGTTGTATATTACTTTAGTAATGTTTGTCGACAGCCATAGAACAACATCTTATTAGAGTTATAACCATTTTAAACAATTTTCAGAAAGTAATTAAATAATTTTTGTTTAGGTAACAATGTAAAGATTAAGAAAATGATCTGGTGTACCAACTTATAAGTCTGGTATCTTTGATGAGTTTCAGAATATTCAGTTTCAATATCACTTGATGTAAACATTTAAAGTTCGACATCCGGTTTAAACAATTTTCTGTTGTTTATAACTGTATGTTGCCATGTACATGTCTTCTCTCCGTTTTATTGTGTTTAAGGGCTGCTGTCCTGTTGACAAATACATCTATTTCTATTCATATCCACCCAACTTTAAGAATGGCCAGTAATTGTTACAGCTTCGGAAACATATTTGTAGCATAATGTTGTGTTTTGTTTTTGTGTTTTACCATTTCGTAGTAAAAGACTAAAATATGTTGTTTTTTTTTATTTCAGTGACCATCTGCATACAAAAAAATAACATTACATTGGAATGCTGTCTTTGAAATTCACGAACAGTATGCTTGACTGAAGTACTGAAGTGACATTCGCACATTGAGAATAAAAATTGTATTGATACCCAGTTTTATAGTACTTTCATATTTATTCACTCTGTGCTGACAATGAAATATTTGAAAATGGCATTACCTCTAATATACTCTCGGCTTTATCTCAACAGATTTAAGGGGAAAAAACCCATTCAATGTATTTTGGCTTTAACATCTACGGAAATATTTCATCTGAATCATTCAGAGATATGTAGTTTAAAGACTTAAGGCAAAGAAAGTGAAGGTGCGATATTTAGGACGTTGATGAAATCTTGTATCCATTTAGAACTTGTTTAACTGCATCTGAATATCGAAAATAATGTATGTAGCATTTATAGCAAGAGATATATTTAATTGAAAAGTTGTGAAATATGTCTATGAACGTAAATAGTGTACGTAAAAAGCGGCAAAAAATATTGCGTTTTCTCGAAAATCCGTCCACAGAATTTTGTTTAAAAATTATATTTTATTGCTGTAAACATTTTAGTTTAAATGATGTGAAAATATTATGGGTTATCTTATTCGTATTTCAGTAGAAATCAATAAGCCTCAAAATGTAGTGTGAAAGAGATAAAAACGACAAAATAATCGCAACGTATTTTTTCGTGTTTTTTTCACACATCACTTATACCTAAATGCCTTTGACAGCAAAACGAATCACTTCTTATATTTTCATATTATTAAAACAGAAATGTTTGCAGCACGCTTTTTGACATATATTCTAGACCTTTTTCACAAATTGTTAATTGACTGTTTCTCTGGAATTATAAATACTACATACATCATTTTTAGAAATTCAGATACAGTTCAGCGAGTTCTAAATGCATACAAAATTTCAACAAAATCCGAAATATTGTTAAATATACTTTGCTTTAGCATTTTGCTGTGGACTAAAACTCGTACAACATTTTGCTAGTATTTAGAAACGTTTGGACAAATAGGTCTAGTATATATAGAGAGAGATTCGTTCTGTGGTTTACATGCTAAGAACCAAATCAAATAATTTACCTTTGAAACAATACAGAAAATTCCAGAAATTATTTTTTATGTTTTGAGACCATTTTCTTATAGCTTTAGGGAGGATAGTGATAATATGGCTTAAAAAACATATGACTTATATACCTCCCAATAAACAAACAGGGAATCGTTGCACCTAGAAGCAACCGAAGCTCATAAAGAAAGAAAATTAATTTATAGAATTCAAATGTCCCGATTGTCGTAGTAACAATTCCGTCTTCTTTTCGTCGATAGTGACATCATCGAATATAACTTATCAGCGGATTTGTATTTCCATTAGCAGTACGACGGATGTTACATTTGAAACTGAAAATACCTACCCTTCCGGAGCACCTGAACTCACCCCCGGTTTATAGTGCGGTTCGTGTTGTTCAATCTGGCGTTTTCTATGTAATGTAATGTTCTGTTATGGTTGTTTGTCTTTTCATTGTTTTTATTTTTGGTGTTGTTTGTTTTCATTATTGGTGTTGTTTGTTTTTAATATTGGTGTTGTCTGTTTTTATTGTTGGTGTTTGTCTGTTTTTATTGTTGGTGTTTGTCTGTTTTTATTTTTGGTGTTGTTTGTTTTTATTATTGGTGTTGTTTGTTTTTATTGTTGGTGTTGTCTGTTTTTATTGTTGGTATTGTTTGTTTTTATTGTTGGTGTTATCAGTTTTTATTATTGTGTGTCTGTTTTTATTGTTGGTGTTGTCTGGTTTTATTATTGGTGTTGTTTGTTTTTATTGTTGGTGTTGTCTGTTTTTATTATTGGTATCTGTTTTTATTGTTGGTGTTGTCTGGTTTTATTATTGGTGTCTGTTTTTATTGTTGGTGTTGTCTGGTTTTATTATTGGTGTCTGTTTTTATTGTTGGTGTTGTCTGTTTTTATTATTGGTGTATGTTTTTATTGTTAGTGTTGTCTTATGAATTTTGAATACCCCGTGGTAGCTTTCTCTATTTGATAAACCATTTTTTCACCCATTCAGAACGAAATTGACAACTTTAAAAAAAGGAGTATCCAGTTATCATTCCTATAAAGTATAATTTAAAAGGATCAAGCAATTTCAAAAGTCGTTTTAGAAATAGAATCCTTTCAGTCAATGACTCTTGGCAAGTAGACAGATATGATGACCAAAAATGTTGAAAATCTTCTAACTGTTTGACAAACAGGATTTCTATTCTGTAGTCTTTTATGATTCAAAATACTGTACTATTAACATTACTCTATGCACAGTGTTGCCTTTCTACATTAAACGCACGTTTTGGTTATTAACAATAATAGACACGCCATTTCGACAAAGAAATTTAAAACATTTGGGCTGTACGAAATTGACGTCAATTAACTTCAATTAGTACCATTTTGGGATGGCTAGTCACGTTGGAGAGTAGGGACATATCTTGGGGTGTTATACGTCTTTAGACATAAAGACTATCCATCTTTATTATACTACAGACGGTTCCAAGTGTTACAACTTCATACAAATCGTGACAAGAATTATACTTCTTCCGTACAAAATTTACACTTTTGACGTAAACATAATACAACAATAAAACAAATCGCATCTGTGTGGTGGCAATGTTGAAATTAAAACGAAATCAATATCCATGCAAAATAGAAATTCGATTTGATTTTGATCCTATTATTTCTTTAGAAACTATACTACGATCAACATAAAAAGATAACATTATCTCACGCCATACATCATTCTGATGGTTATAATCGTTCATAAATTGCAGTAACATCTTAGTCTGACGTTTACAGCTTGCTTTGTTCGATTATTATTTAATATTGTATTATAAATAATATTAAGTGGATTGTATTGTCAAAATGAGTTGAAAAATATTGAAAATGAAAACAAATTTCCTGTTCTGACGTTTACAATTTTCTTCGTTCGATTATCATTTAATACTGTATTATAAAAATTTTAAGTGGATTGTATTTTCAAAATGCATCGAAAAATATTGAAAAATGAAAATTTGCTTGTAAATATGGTCGAATAAAGAAATTGGTTATATATAGTGACCACATGAAGATTTGAAACATGTCAGCTCCTTACTACCAATTTACTGGCATCTATAAATGCTGTACTCGATATCGCTTGCTTTTCTTAATAAAAATAAATGTTGCCTTTTGTCTGGTACTATCAAATGTATCGTAAAGTGTCAAGCCTTGGATGAATGCGTCTTTCTTATCTACAGAAAATTGTAGATTAGCCAAAGTGACTAGTATCCGATAAAAAGACGTTGCTGCCTAGTTAAAGACTGAAATGTATGGTTATATATATAGACATATGTAGCCTGTAATTAAGTATTTGTCGTTTGTTGTACATATCATTTTTTTTCGTTTGTTGTTTTGTACATACATAACCATTAGTTTTCTCTTTTGAATTGTTTTATATTTGTCATTTAGGGAGCAATTATAGCTTGCTATACGTTATGGATTTTGCTCATTTTTGAAGGCTGTAAGGTGGCCTATATTTGCTAACTTGTACGTGATTTGGTCTGTGGTGGAGAGTTGTCTCATTGGCAATCATACCACATCTTCTTATTTTTATATAAACCTATTTTAAAACAAAAGCATTTTAATTTTGTTAATCCCAGATCATCTTATATCATCTGTGAGAATGGTACAAACTATATCAAAATTGGGCATTTTTGCCTCCTAATGAATATTTTGAAGGCTAAACGGTTCTTCTCAAAACATTCCAGTTCATTCCTATTGTTTTGCTAAATCACATGATCAATATATATCGGATCACCATGCAACTTTTAGATAGAAATCCATTTGGCACCCATGAAGAACTGTTATGAAACTAGCCTAGTTCGGTGTGAGCCAAGGCTCCGTGTTGAAGGCCGTACTTTGACCTATAATCACTCTCATGGTCTATGTGTAACCCAAAGATATTAACTACATGTAGAGATACTTGTATCCGTGGTATACTTTATTGCAGGTTTTAATGGAATAATTTCGGTCAACATAGTCACTAACACATAATTCATTAAATAGACACAGGATATTCCTAATTTCTTTACATTGACGGTCTTACACTAGTAATTTTTATGGGCCCTTTATAGCTTGCTGTTCGGTGTGGGCCAATGCTCCGTGTTGAAGGCCGTACCTTGACCTATAATGGTTTACTTTTATAAATTGTAACTTGGATGGAGAGTTGTCTCATTGGCACTCATACCACATCTTCCTATATCTATTAAAAAGGCCGCGTTTGAAGTCTCCCTCATACGAATAAAGAAAAAGGCTGGCGAAAACAGGAGCACAGGTGGCTCCCATGAAATGACGACTGTCATTATGTTGTCGATCAAATCCTAAGGCTTTTTAATGATGTCATATTCAGATATCTTTTTGTAAGAAGCTGAGTGGTTTCATTGTAAAGAAAGTGTGTGTGTTGTTGAAAGGGGTCTTTGAGTGTGGGTACTTTTACCGATCCTACTTATTCTACAGTGTCAGACCACCAATTCAAAATCCCTATCTATTCAACCATTTTTTTCAATTTTCAGAGATTTCTAAATATTTTACCTTAAGTTTAACTTCATAAAAACCAGGTATATCCTGAATTGTACATGTATCAACTTTCTATATATTTCTCTTTCATCAACAGTTTCATTTCTGCAAATGTGTTGGTTAGTTTAAGTTAACAATGACATCAAAAGCACTATTTTTTGTCAAGGAAGGGTTACTTTTACATATGAGTGAATTGGTGGTCTGACACCTTAAAGAGAAGTAATTCTGGATAAAGAATTGACACTTCGTTTTTATTTTAGAATTATGTCACAATCTAAGTAGTTGGCTATCAAAGGTATTCACAATTATTCATGTTAAAAGTGTCTGACAAAAAGAAATCATTGATGGTCAAGACACGTTTGTGACTTTACTTTTTTCTTTGCTTGTCATTATCTTGACTTTAGTCGACAATTATTATTATAAAAATAATGTGATGTGTTATGATTGCCAATAAAAAACTATCTACCCGAGTTCAAATGGGTATGGATGTACGCAAGTATAGGTCGATATATTAATGGCAGTTTAACACCACATAAGCACACATTGGCTAGGTTACGGCGTATTGCCTTAGTTTTGAATTCGGTTCCTAGGGTTATTTTGTGTTTGTTTAATTGTGTACATGTTTTATCTCAATTCCGATTTCTATTTGTTTAACGTTTCTAAACCATCTACTCTTCTAATATCTTTGGATAAACACTTACTATCTTTGACAGATTGATTGCTTTTAAAAAATAGACTTTCAGGTTGTCGAAAAATGCATCCTCAGTCTAAAAAGACACAGAATGAGATATCATATATTTGTGCCTTGTCTTTACAGATTGTGACTGATGAATATCACGTATAGACCACAAAACCAGAAAACGACATTAAAGTGACACCGGGAAAACCATCATGATACATTCACGTGACACCGGAAAACCATTAAAAAACAGTCACGTCCCATAACCATTCTCGTCTTCAATAAAACGTTAATGTTTCTTGAATCCGGTCTAAACAGTTATACTGGAATACTGAAACTGAAATCGATATAATTAAAAAAAAATATATTTAATGAGCGTAAATAGCATCACAATTTTACAGGAAGAAGGCAATTACACTGAAGTCGGAAACAAAACATACCAGTTCGATGAAACAAATTGTAATCGTTTACGGGTTGCGTGACTTTTCAAACTATCAGATTACGTCATTAAACTAAAACCTAACATGTTTTAACTGCTTGTTTTAAAAGATAGACATAAAACAATAAATTACATACTATGTGTGTCTTTCTACTGATGTAACCAAGCAAAGCATGTTTGAAGCGCTTTTTTATAAAAAAAACATCATAGAAAGGAGCTATATTAAATCAGCTTTGCTAAAATTCTAGAATTTTTTTACGGGTCTGACAGACAAAAGTATGTTGTACAAGCCTCTAGATACAATTCTACACGCAAAATGTCCAAGTTAGTTTATTAAAAACTTTACATGGAAGAAGGCATTCGTTGAATGAGTTTTCAAAATGCCTGTTTATTTAACGCTGCTAAACTTCGGCGTCTTTAAATCAAACTGACATACGAGTACCCGTCAATGAAGCAAAATTAAACCAAAAGCTGTGAAATAGCGAAATACCATATAGACCTGCAGGTATAGCGTTATATCGGAAAAGGAAGGAAGTCATTCTTTTTAGGCGAAAAGTGTCTTATTGAATGTTAATCACATATGGGAAAAGAGGAAACTGCTTTATATCAAGTCTGCTATTAAGAGAATATATGGATTTTCTGCGCATGTGCCAATCGTGATCGAAATTGTTATCGTTAAATGTAAACTTGAAAAAAACGTATGTAACTCATTATAGTCAACCAACGTAATGATGACCACCGATTAATGCCATCTTCCGCTATCCCAGAGGAATAAACATGGCATCGATGTCTATAACGACGTTCTTTCTTCCTCTTTATGTAACTTACAAGAAAATAAGAAGATAACATGACAAATATGTTGAAAAAATCAAAACACTATGGCTAAAAAAAACATAAAAAACAATGCCTGCTTCATAAGTGGCACCTCTCGTGTCGTAAAAATGTAAAAGAAATTCAGTGATAAGTTGTGAACGAAGATAAGAAGACAATATTATAACTGCGATAAATGGAACATTTTTAACAATCAATAATCAAGACAGCGACTGAAAAATATCTGACGCAATAACTTAATTTTTTTATCAAAAACTAAATTCTGAATCCTGGGAATAAGTACAAACTGGATAACGTATCAAATGCAGTTTACTGCTAGTGTATGCTCTTTATTTAGGTGGTACAGGACTGTTGCTAAAAAGGGAAAGGTTTATAGTAGGAAAATTAAACTAAAACTAAATTTCATTATGACAGTAGCTGATTCTTCGGAGGCGGATGAGGATTCATTTTCACATCAAATTTGTGAACCTTTTAAATACCGCGCTAAAAGTCATACATTTTGTGAAATTTTTTTTCGATATGATATGCAGAAGTCGCATACATATTAATATAATGGCTGGATGAGTCCATTCGCGTTACGTCTTTGGTATTAAATAGAGTGAAAAAGCGAAAACGCAAATTGGACACATCTGGTAACCATATTATGAGCCTTTGAGCCTTATCCTCTCGCCTATTCGCCCTATGAAATATCAAAAGCGAAAACGCAAAATGACCAAACTATGGATTAAGAGGGCACTTTACGTTCCCAGCAAACTTGATAAGAATAAAAATATTTACCAATAGAAAAGAACACGTGGGTGTGCAGTGTAAATTGTGATTTTTTTTATCCCTTTTCTATAAATGCTGTTGACTATGCTTTCAGTCAGCGTGCTTGTACACTGACCAAGCCAGTAGTTATCTTATCATTTGCATGACTTGTATACCACCATAAATACATATTTCCCTGTACAAATATCACCGGAAAGCAACAAATATTAAATATGTAGACACATTCTTATGGTTATTTAAGTTTATTCTCTGTTTCATTCCTACAGGGTTACACAAAAGATTTGTCACAACCATCAAAACAAAATGACCAAAACCAGCGTTATTTGGGGTTAGCGCTTGGTCCTGCGTGTTCTGGAATGGTGTTATCTGGGTTACTCCGATGTCGCGGCAATGGAGCTGCATGGATAACTATTTCCTCTAATTGTTCATTTGTAAGATTGAATGGCGATAATTCATTGTCAGACATTTGTCGTCTGAGAATTTTTTCATGTCTCGTCCTTGCATTTAAAATTGGACGCGAAGACGACTGTGTTAAAGATCCCGGCATGCTAACTACTGGGAGTTCCTGTAGAACTATAATTGGTTGTTGCGATTCGGAAGCCGAACCTGGCAGATTTAAAGAATGCGTTCTATGATGACTTGCATATGACCCATTTTGAATATGTTCATATTCTTCTTCTCTATGAGGAGACAATTGTCTTTGAGGCCTATTATTTATTACTTCAGTCTGTTTTTCTTTTTCTTTTTCAATAGCAGTCTTTTTCTCGTCTTTGATGATTGTTTTGTAATATTCGCCTGCAAAACATGTAACTTAATATTTCAGAAAATGGGAATACAAATCCTTACAAAAATAAGCGACGGATACTATAATATCAACCCACTACTTTACCATCTGTAAATTAGAACTGAACAACATGTTGAGGAAATCACTACTGAACTTTTTAAACAGTTGCCTTCATCTCTTGCAAATTTACAAGACAAAAACAAATTAAACTTTTCTCTATATTAACTAGAACTGACACATCTTTTCCCTAATTGTGACATTGCCGTTTTAGACTTATTATCGGAATTATACTTGCAACACAAAGGGTGCAACATGTGAAGAAGGAATTGCTCACCCTGATTTTTGACGGGGTTCGTGTTGCCCAATATTTAGATTTGTGTGTAATGTTTGGTTATTGTTGTTTGTTTTATTCGTCGTTTTTCCTTTGGCCATAGTGTCGCCTGTTTTTTTTTCTGTGACTTATGGTGTTTGATATTTCTCCCTTAATACGGTATCTTATTCTTCCTTTTCTCGTATCTTTGAAGAAATGAAATAAAAGATATTCTGTAAAGAAAAGCTCTTCATTTTTCTATGTAGTATGTTTTAGACTCGTTTGTCTTTTCTTTTGTTTTTCATTTTGGTCATGGTGTTATCTGCTTTTTCTTCGACTTAAGGTTTCGATACAGCCTCCTTGTTATATTCTCCCTCTTTTCAATATAGTTAAGGTACTAAAAGAGGGAAATTTTGAATTAAACATCAATCGATATCAAAGCGCTAATGCTCTCCGGCATCTTGACCACACTTTCTCTTCCGATATATATTTTGATTAAAACTTTATCTCATACAATGCTTTTAATTTAACTATAAATATCTCCCAATCTGGAAAACAAATTCAATACTAGCAGTACCGATTTTATATTAATTTTAGTGGGATGATTCAATCAAAGATTTTTCCCTTTTCATCTGTTGCCAAATGACCTGATTCGTCCTATTTTTGATAGTCTGAGATACCTGTACTAGATTATCAAATGTCGGGTGCTTATCTTTTTGTTCCTTAAAGTCTCTCCAGTTTTTTCCTTATCTATTTCGATCAAATTAAACATATCCTTCATTGATTGATAAAAATAAGAATAGTGTTAGTATATCGCTGAAAACAGTTGCAAGTGATATAAAATGTTGAACACTTTGAAATGTGAGATTACAGTTTTAAAGAAGTAATTAAATAACCACATGTTTTACTCTGAAGGAATTGATATCTACGATCAAGAAAAAATGTTTAACGAAATCTAGTCCAATTATGTTTCATTTCACAGTTGATTCCAATTATTGGTTTGGATTTTATATCTATATAAAGTTAAATGCTTAGTCCGATTAAACTTACGAGAATATGTGATGAAAGACATTCCCCATACAATACTCCATATCCATCCTAGTAACAGAATGAAGGCGGTAATAAACTGAAGTAATGCTACCCAACTATTCACTAATACAACTTTCTGTTTTGTTTGGTCCTTTAATCGCACTTTAGAACAACATAGCACCGAAAATCCCGATAATAATGTACCTGAAAGAAGAAAAATAGTCAAAACAACGTAGTGAAAAACTAAATCAAACTACATAGGACTATGACCTTCATATGACTATGACCTCAAGATCAAATTATTATTTATTTAAGTTGTCCGAGTCATAGTTTTTTTTTGTTTTGACATAGGCGTTTGATATTTGGAACACAAGTACATCATCTCAAAACGTTGTGTCGCGTACCGTTGTAGATGACACATGACCTCAAATTCAAATACTGGATTTTTTGCGGACCATTTTGTGTTCGGGCCAAAACTTTTGTTTTATCTTTAGTCAAGTATGGTATTATGACATCATTCATAGACAATGTGTCGCGTACAAGAGAACATAACCATATAAATATGGTATTATGATATCATTGATAGACCATGTGTCGCGTACAAGAGAACATAACCATATATATATGGTATTATGACATCATTTATAGACCATGTGTCGCGTACAAGAGAACATAACCATATATATATATGGTATTATGACATCATTTATAGACCATGTGTCGCGTACAAGAGAACATAACCATATATATATGGTATTATGACATCATTTATAGACGATGTGTCGCGTACAAGAGAACATTACCATATATATATATGGTATTATGACATCATTTATAGACGATGTGTCGCGTACAAGAGAACATAACCATATATATATGGTATTATGACATCATTTATAGACGATGTGTCGCGTACAAGAGTACATAACCATATATATATGGTATTATGACATCATTTATAGACCATGTGTCGCGTACAAGAGAACATAGCCATATATATATGGTATTATGACATCATTTATAGACCATGTGTCGCGTACAAGAGAACATAACCATATATATATGGTATTATGACATCATTTATAGACGATGTGTCGCGTACAACAGAACATAACCTTTGAACTGTTTCTTTTGTATATTTTATATGTCTAAATTACAAGAACATATTATGCTTCATTCTTTACATTTGATGTCGTTTATTTCCATTTGATTAACTCAGGGGGTGGAACAAATATGTTTAAGTCACTAAAACAATTCTAGTTAAATTATAACAGCATACAATGTTTTATCATGACAAAGGAGTTAACACTTAATGATTCATAAAAAAAAAATAACCGTGCCCTTCATCGCGCATTTTCCGAATCATACACTTTTTGTTGTTGTTGTTGAATAACCTAATATAAGAATAAGTATGTAAGAGGTAAGCTGCATTTCCTCTTTTTTTATAAATGTTCCATATATAATTATTAATTGTAATGCTAATTTGAGAAGAGGGATAATGTCTAGCATTTAAAACTAATAAAAGACAAAAACCAAACAAACTTAAAATGTATTTTGTCAATGTAACATATTTGTATTATTTAGTAGCAAACTTCTTGTTTGGATTTTATACTTATAGAATCGCTTGTCTTACCAGATAGATTCTATAAATATTACATAAGGTAACAATAATAAAACACAATTGAAGAAAGTATAACAACGTGATGTCGATTTGAATAATTTATTTGCGATGTAGTAAATACTGAAGCGTTAATTACTTTAGGTTGATTGTAAAGGAACAACCAGCATGTCACAACTGTTGTATGATATAAATATAAATTATATCGTTGTTGCCAGTTAAATCATTCGCGTATTTTTGGGATTAACATTAATTCGCTGGTCAAAACCGAAATGTTTCTACCATTTCTTTTCTGTCATTCAATTCTTTAAAAATTGCTTTGTCATTGCACAAAACGTTGCTATACAACGTTTATACACCGAAGTACAGCTATCGATATTAGAGTGTAGGATAGCATACATTCTTACCTTTCGGTAACTGAGATACATTCTTTGATAAGTATTATTTATCATTGCTCTTATATATATATATATATATAAACAAGTCTAAATTGAAAACAACATTCAAACCAATGATTGCGTTGGATAAAAACGTGTGCATACAAAACAAATTTCTTGGTAGAGGGATCTAAATACAGCACAAACAACATTTTCCAAAAGACCTAAAAAGTGAAAAAGAATATTTTAACAAAACGCATTTGACTAGCAGGTCGAAAAAATGGATGTTCTTAAACCATGCTGACTGCCATTGGCGATTGCCAAATAAACGGATCACCAGATGTAACAAAATGGATCTTAACTTTTAATTTAATACCAAACAGAAAACAATAAACTTGCGGAAAAGATGGTATACCGCAAACAAAAGGTGCAAAAATTAGTACACCATATCCGGATTTCGACAATTTATGCCTCTTCAGTGATGTTAGGAATAGAAACGGTATTTGGAAGACCATATAATTTACCTCAATTTAGGATAGACTCTTGAATTTTGAAGAGTCGAAATAGGATGAACGGATCATATAAACCCGAGGGCAAATATAATACAAGCCCAAACGAAAAAACATAAACAATAGATATAAGAAGATGTGGTATGAGTGCCAATGAGACAACTCTCCATCCAAGTCACAATTTGTAAAAATAAACCATTACAGGTCAAAGTACGGTCTTCAACACGGAGCCTTGGCTCACACCGAACAGCAAGCTATAAAAGGCCCCGAAAATGACTAGTGTAAAACCATTCAAACGGGAAGTCTAGATTGAAAATAACGTTCAAACCTATGATTGCGTTGGATAGAAAACGCAATTTTTATACGTGTGCATGCAAAACAAATTTCTTGGTACAAGGGTCTAAATACAGCACAAACAACATACGTGTTTGTCTGTGTCTTTTGTTGCCTATCATACAGATATTTTTGTTAAGTGCGGCGTTTTTTGTACGTTCTTCCGCGTATTTTTGTCAGATTCAAAGAAGAGTAAAACCCAGTGTGTCTGTCCTAAGGCAGGAAACTCGTCAGTAGATGTCTTCACAAATATATCTTAGTATTTTTGTCCTATATATATGGTGTTATCAGAAAATCTTCATATTTTTTCAAGATTTGGGGCTATTTTTAGAGCTCGACAAAGTATACAGACATTTAAATTGTGTCTATTATGTTGACCTCTAAATGATTTTTTTCCGTCGTTAGGTTTCTGTCTCATTAGCGAATAACCCATATCTCCGTTAATTTTCATTAATTTGAACAAATTACCATGCAAAAACATCAAGTTTCGATTTTCTTGTCTGTTTACCGTTCTAGAAATATAAATTGGTGGTAAAAAATCTCGTAACGTTCGTATCCCTAAAAATGTCAATAAAAATCTCCAATAATGATTATTAAACGATTTATAGTTTGCCACTCTTTATATAGCGTAAGACATAACTTTAAAATTAAAGAAAATATTATTACAATGTTCAGTTTTATTGGTTTTTTTTTAAAGTTTATACGATTGCATTATGTATATAACAAACAAAAAATAAACATGACCATTTTGCGATCTGTCAATTTAGAATTCGACTTGAACTTTTACTTAGTCATCTAGTCCATAATTGGGACAAAGACGCGGCCACGAAGACTGGCACATGACCAATGCAAAACCATGTCCATGACGACAAGCACATTATTAAGACAAAGACATGATATCTAAATCAAAACAAAACAAAAACAAAAACAGGTTTTGGTTTGGGGGGGGGGGATAACTAGTTCCATACAGGTAAACTAGTTGTAGTCATTAAGCTGGGGTTTTTTTTTGTACTTCGTGTCGATCTGATGAGTCGAGCCATTACCAGCTAACTTTTATAAAATTGAGAATGGAAATGGGGAATGTGTCAAAGAGACAACAACCCGACCATAGAACAGACAACAGCAGAAGGTCACCAACAGGTCTTCAATTTTATAGTCCGTTCTTATATTGTGTTGTTACACCACTGGTCCAGATAAGGGGAGGGTTGAGCGCTCACAAACATTTTGACACCCACCACGTTCTATAATTGCCAGTCCCATGTCAGGAGCCTTTAATTCAGTGGTTGTCGTTAGTTGCTAAGTGTCATATTTGTTTTTCGATTGAATTGTTTCGCATTTTGTCATGTCGGGCCCTTTAATAGCTGACTATACGTCACGGATTTTGCTCATTGTTTACGAAAACCCGCAGTTGCTTAAAGCTGCTTTATTTTGGACTCTGTTCGATAGTTGTCTCATTGGCATTCATACCACATCTTATTATTTTATATTCAACTACAGAAAAGTATCGATAGCATATGTAATTGACGCTTAGATATTAACAAAGACATCCACATACAAGGTACAAGGTTCCCGTCTTTGGACAGGCATTAACATATGGCCGGGTATTAACCAATTTCTGCATAAGTCACCTCTTCCCTTGTTTATCCCGATTAGCGAATTATAGTAGATATGTTTTGATGAATGTACACTCTATAATATTGGCGTTACTGATGGCAAAAACATAGTTAAAAAAAACGTATTGAAGAAAACTTTGTGTTAACGAAGCCAAGCTCAGATTACTTATTATGCTGTGATATAAATCATATTTCTTACACTTTTATATCGGTGGCTATACTTCCGAATATATTTCATATAACAATGTCATGAATAGTGCAGAAAATAGTATTTGCAATGCCCGAAGTAAATTGGTGTACAGAATTTAGATGATGTAAAAAAAATAACTCAAACATTTAACCGTCTTTCAAACTGTAAATAAATAATACGATGAGCTTTACAGCAGCAATAAAATTATAAAATACACACACACTTACATTCAAAATGCACAGATTTAATATTAAATCCTGTTAGTTGAATCATACTTTGATATAGTAAATTATATTTGTAATATAATATTGAGCAATTTGTGATCATTTGTATCCCTTTTGTAACAGTCTTTAGTAATGAAAATATAACATTCATTTAAATCTCAGACTTAACAGCAAACACGTGTATATCAAACAAACTAAGAAATGTATGTACTTCATAAATGTTCGATTAATGGAAGCTGTATTTATGTAGATTTACAAAACATTAGTTAAGATAACACTGGAAAACATTTGATTCCTGTTAAAGCAGTTATATGAGAGAAATCTTTCTTCTTTGTACACA